GAATGGGTTAAGATGGGGAAAGGGTTAACACTGATCAAAATGCATTGTACCCACCAACTGCCATGTTGAACAGAAACCTCTTTGTTCAACTACTTCAAAATAATTTCAAAAAGCAAATTAAAAATAAAAAGAAGTGTGGCCCTGTTGGAGAGTGCTAGCCAATGAGTGAAAGCAGCAGGTACTGAATTTTTGAGTTCTGGTCTCAAACTGACAATAAATGGTTGAATGAATGAATAAGTGAATGAGTGAATGAATGAATGAAATTGATCTGACAAAGAATACCATGAGAAATTATTTTATCTTGGATACCTGAAGGCTTTCTTCCTTCTGGAATACTTCTCCCTTCTATTTGCATTGTGTCCTGTGTTTTGAGAGTTCCATCTTCAGAATCAAAGTGAAAACTTTTGCACCTCTGTGTCTCACCAGTCTGCCATCTCCTTGTTCTAGTGTATATATTTTTTGGGATGTACATTAGTTCGGCATTTACTGACTGACTTTAAAAGATTGCGATGGGGGCTGGGAAGGTGGCTCAGTGGTAGAGTGCTTGCCTTGCATGCCTGAGGCCCTGGGTTCGATTCCTCAGCACCACATAAGCAAAAAGAAAAAAAAGCCGGAAGTGGAGCTGTGGCTCAAGTGGTAGAGCACTAGCCTTGAGCTGAAGAGCTGAGGGACAGCACCCAGGTCCAGAGTTCAGGCCCCACGACTGGACCCCCCCCCCAAAAAAAAGATTGCAATGGTTTCCATGATGTTTAATCCAGTCCTTCAAATGCTGAACTCTTTGGTCAACTCTCTGGGGGATCAAGGTAATGAAAGTTACCTTGAGGAATCTCATCCATAGTTTTGTTTCCATCGATGTGCCCATGTGTCCTTTCCTTTGCACAGAGTTTCTGGAGTAAATCAAAGGTAGTGTATTTCCTGAGTCAAATTTCTGACTCTTTCATGCATCTTCTGTAAAGAGGGAGACTATAATGACTAGGTGACTTTTGACTTTGTTAGAAACCCTACTTTTCTTATCTCAACATATTGTTATAAATGCAGAATTAACTTGTAACACTTTTACATTAATTTGCAATTTTATTCAACAGACGTGAGAGCCAACATCCATAATACCATAATAAATATGTGATCTGTAACACATGTATATATAGTTATGTTTATAAGCACATAAATATATATAATAGTTAATTTATGTTATATATATTTATTTAATATATGACATTTACATATTTTATAATACAAATAAATAAATAAGATAATGATACTGATATATTATTTGCATTTATTATTGAATATTTATATTATAGTATATATAAGTAAATGTGATTTATAATATATATATTTAGTACCATATTAAATAAATAATTTTATAAATTTAGAAATTTATGCAATATAAATTATACTATAACATATAAAATTTGTATTAATCAAGTAATGATTAATTATTAATTAAATATTATGGAAGACATAATATAGAAAATGTATACATATAAATATATTTCTCAAAGTAAATATCCGATCAAGTATGCTGCTAGTATCTCAGTGGGCCACTGCCAGACAGCCCTGTCCTTTCTTCCCATTCTGCAAATGCTTCAGTCAAGATTTCTTAGCATGTCCAAGACTGCATTGATGACTAAATGACACAGTTTAAAGACCTGGATCCCATGACAACTGGGATGATTCTGAAGGTTCATTTCCCTTGCAAACTCTCTGGTAGGGCAGAGGGCAATGACTGCCTGTGCATTGCAGGTGAAATTATGCCCAGTTATAGAGTTTCCATCCCTTCCAGCTCTTCTACTTCCTGGTATAAGTGACAAGCTCTGTGTAATGGTATAGAGCCTATGTACATCATTCTGTTATTATAAGAAAAGCATGTATTTTAGATGTTTCAAAATTCTATGAATCATATGTTCTAGGGAATAAGATTAGATGATTGTCAACAATACCACACAACAGTCTGATGAGGAGCTGCTTCTCTGAGACAGTAAGACAGTAAGATATTAAGACAGACAGTGAGAAAATGTTGGAAATATTCTTGAGTGAATGCTGAGCCTATGAAAAAGTAGAGGCAGCAGGAAAATGGATGGGTCTAGAATAAACCATGTTAAGTGAGATGAGCCAAGCTTAGAGGGGAAAACGTGCATGTTTTCTCTGATATGTGAAGTGGGATCTACAATATAACTGGACATGATAACTTATACAGGACTCTAGACATTCACACACAGACTAAAAAAGGTTACCCTTAGGGAACTCACAGGCATAACTCCTCAAAACATTTAAAATACTTTTTATTGAAATGAATTCCAGGAAATTGAAACATGGTTTTGTTTTGTTTTGTTTTAGGGGGTGTTGGGACTAAGAAGGGATGCAGAAGAGGAGGGAGGAAGTTTGAACAAATGCTACCATGCTATTCAGTAGACACTATGTGAAAGCTGAACAATGCAACTTGTGGGAAGAGACAGGAGGGGGAAACTGGGAACAAGAGAAGGGAAAGGTGACTTTGTCCAAAATTACATTTTAAAAAGTAGAAGCAACACTCAATGCCTTGAGTAGAGCCCAACTTAACAAAAGAGGTCAAACTCTTGTATTCTGTGCTGGTCTGCTTTCTCTCTTATTCTAGTGCCAGCTTTTTACCATTAGAGAAAACTGAAATTTCCTCCTTTTGCACTAAACTTATCTGTGATTGCCATCCATCATGTGTGGGACTTGTTCAGTGTGACACTCAGGATTAAGGCAAAAGTTGATTCTCAACCTGTATCTTGGATAATTTGGCTTTAATTCTGAAATCCACTGTCCCAAATGTGTGGAAGAATGTGTGGAAGTATTAATTGTGTCTGAGGATGATTATTATTGAAAACTTTGGTTTAGCCCAAAATACTACTGTGGGATTTATTAGGGGGAAAAAACGTGATGTATGCCAGCTCTTTAAAAGATGGCACTGAGGTGAAAGAATGGAGAAAATTGGATGATGCAAGCCTGTCTTTCTGAGTCCAGGGAGTGGCCATCTTGGATTCCATGCTTCTCTATGTTTGGACTGCAAGGACATTAGCCCCCTGGGATATGAATGATGATAACATTGCTACTTTAACAAGGAGCTTTGGACATTGAGTCTGCAGGGACACAAAGTCTGCAAAATGTAGGTGTGAGACGACTCAGCAGCCTAATAAAGAATCCAAATTGGAGTCACTTCTTCGGAGGCAAATAATAGCTGATGAGGCCTCTAAGACATAGCAGGTCTAGGAGCACTTCCTGCATTTGTATCTTCCATCCTCAATATCCAGGTGAGACAGCCTTTGGATACCATTCTCTCCAAAATGAACCAGGTAACAAGTGGTCACTTTGTTAATATACTGCAAGTGAGGTCAGGTGGAATTTGGACGTCAGGTTCTGTTTAACTGGAGCTGTCCTTCATTTTATTCTATATTCCCTCCAAATGCATTTGGTTACTACTGAAGTCTTCTTTCACTTTTCTTTCTACAGGAAAAAATTTCCTTGAGGTAGTTATAGGCATTCACATTTGCTTCTTTGGTGTGTGTGTGTGTGTGTGTGTGTGTGTGTGTGTGCATGCGTGCTGGCCCTGGAGCTTGAATGCAGGACTCAGGTACTGTCCCTGAGTTTATCGTTTGCTTGTTTTTGCTCAAAGGCTAGCCCTGTACCACTTGAGCCAAAGTTCCACTTCTTTTTAGTAGTTTAGAGGAGATAAAATTCTTATGGACTTACTTGCTTGGGCTGGTTTTGAATTGTGATCCTCAGTTCTCAGCCTCTGAGTAGTGTTGCAGGCATAAGTAACAGGTGACCAGCTCATGTTGGCATTTTATCATGCATATATGGATCTCTTTGCTCATTTTTGTCTGTGACTGATATTGCAGGCACATGAGCAGTAAAATTTCATATAAATATGCTGGCAGGATAAAAATTCATATTATTTTCCTCTGAATGCTTTTATTCTATTCATTTCTCCTCATAAGTCATCTCTCAGGCTTCCCACACTCTATATTAAATAACTGATTAACAACACATTGGTTTAGAGATAGATGTCTGCACATTGCAAAATGATCATGACAGTCAAGCAATCACTTCATCCGTCATGGTTTTTACCAACAGAAAATTCAAGTTCCTGTACAGGTGAAGATATTTCCCCATCTACAGAAATACTCTTGAGCCTAGATTATATTTGGCATGTGTAAATCTAATACTGTTTAAACAATACACTCATATATTTATACATGGAATATGTATCACTCTCACACACATATAGATAAAGATATAGATTAAAACCATGTTCATGGTCTTCTCTGTGAAGGCTGGCTTGGAACTACAACTTTTAGATCTTAGCCTCCTGAGTTGTAGAAATACAGGCATGAGCCACCAATGCCCGCGTGGCATATATTTTAAAATATTTGAAATAATATGTAAAATATTGCAGCAGCTAATCAAAATCAAGTTATGTCAGGTGCCAGTGGCCTGAGCTTATCATCTTAGCTACTCAGAAGACAGTGATATGAGGATCCAGGAAAGAACCAGTATTGCAGAAGACATAATTCATAAATTTACTCTTGATTTTTAATTAACTTAAAAATAGGAGATGATCCTAACAATAACAATATCAATGGCTTACAATTTGTTTTATTCTGGACACTGGCAAAATGTATATTGACAGTTGTCATTTAATAAAACTTGTTTTCAAAACAGGACTGAGACAGCGGGTGATTGAATAGAGAAGGAAAGGAGGAAGTAGAAGACTAATGTTAATTCAAATATAGATGAAGATTTCTTTTATAATTAACAGGTTCTCAGTACTCACTATTGTAGTTTTAAGTTCAGCAAAGTCTGCAGGTCCTCAGAGTCAGTAGACATCAAGCAATAAGTCTTGAGTTGGCACCTCAAATTATTTTCCCAATTTTCTTATTAAAGTAAACATCTCTCCCACTTTCTGAGGATACTGCTGAGCATACCATATAAATTATCTTTTACCTTATCTTTCCTCTCAGGTTCATGTATAAATGGAAAGTGTAAATCAGACAGACATGTTAGAATTCCTTCTCCTGGGTCTCTCAGACAATGCTGAACTCCAGCCTCTCATCTTCAGTCTCTTCCTGTCCATGTACCTGATCACCATCCTTGGCAACCTGCTCATCATTCTGGCCATCATCTCTGACCCTCACCTCCACACCCCCATGTACTTCTTCCTCTCCACCCTGTCCTTCAATGACATCTGTTTTATTACAACCACCGTCCCCCAGATGCTGGTGAACATCCACACACAAGACCAGAGCATCACGTACATAAAATGTCTCTCTCAAGTGTGTTCCGAGTTGATTTTTGGTAGTTTAGAAAATTGTCTCCTTGCAGTGATGGCCTATGATCGCTATGCGGCCATTTGTCACCCACTTAAGTACCCAGTCATCATGAACCCCCACATCTGTGTTCTGTTGGTTCTTGTCTCTCTGCTCATGAGCATAGTGTATGCCCTCCTCCACACTCTGATGGTGTTACGTCTGTCCTTCTGCACACACCTGGAAGTCCCCCACTTCTTCTGTGAGCTTGCACAGATCATCAAGTTAGCCTGTTCGGACACACTCATCAATAACCTAATGATCTATGTAGCATCTAGTCTATTCGCAGGTGTTCCTTTCTGCGGAATTATTGTCTCCTATATTCACATTGTGTCTTCAGTCTTGAGGATGCCATCATCAAGAGGAAAGTACAAAGTGTTTTCCACCTGTGGGTCACACCTGTGTGTGGTTTCCTTGTTCTATGGGACAGGTTTTGGGGTGTACATCAGCTCCGCATTCGTTGAGTCCCAGAGGAAGACTGCAGTCGCTTCTGTGATGTATTCTGTAGTGACACAGATGCTGAATCCCTTTATCTATAGTTTAAGGAACAGAGACATGAAGGAAGCCTTCAGGAAACTTAGTAATTATTTGGCTTCTCCTTTGTAATATGTCATCATTTGCTTTGAATCTGGGAGAGTAAATTAAAATAAACAGAGATCTTGGAACCAGGATGCATTGTTCCTTGTCAATACATCATGCAAAACAAAAACACTATTAAAAAAAACCAAGTTCATTTTACGCTTGCTTTATGGCAAATGATGTCATGTTTGACATGTCATTCTCCAACAATACTTTTCTCTCTTCAGTTTTCAGAGAAACAAGAGTTTTAGCCAAAATTTTTGAGCTGTAATGTTAGGCAAAAGGTCATTGAAAAAGTAGCAATAATGATATAACAAGTAACTGTGGTTCTGTTTCAAAGAATGGTTTCCACCTAATTTTAATTTTCCATAGCTTCAAATGTCACATAAGGGGGTTAGAATCTAATGTGTCTAGTTATGTGTTCATTGATGCACATTAGAGTCAATAGGTTCAACCCATCCATCATTCTCCCCATACCATCTACTCCTCCCCCAGACTCATTTCAGGTTTCCCATGTCCTTTGTCACATGAGTGCATTGAATATTTGGGCTCTATTTGTCTTGGTTCCATTTTCAGTCCATGTGAATTACATTCCATGGTTCTTTTACTCTGAGGAAACCTAATGAGCATTTGTGTCCTTTGAAGCAATTTCTGGGACTTGGTTCTGATAAAGCACATTCCCCTGAACATTCTAGGACATTCTGGGTGTTTTTTGCATCTCTCAGTCAATTATTGAAAAAGAAATATGAGAGTGATGTTTCATGTCATATCCAGAGTGGAAGGCTAGAAGTGGGATAGCAACACTAAGTAGCTTTAAGAAGGTACAAAAACTTGAAAAAACTATTCAGTGAAGTAAGTCAGACCCAAATAAACAGGCTCCAAGGTTTCTCTCATTTGTAATACTTAGTATATACCTAAGATAGTCCTAGCAGAGGTTCACAATAGCCCAATAGCTATTTATGTATGACCACATGAAATGATGCTAATTTTAAAAAATGGTACAAAAGATCCAGGCACCAATGGTTCATAATGTAGTCTTAGCTATTGAGGAGGCTGAGATCTGAGGATTGATGTTTGAAGCCAGCTTGGGCAGGAAAGTCCTTCAAAGTCTTATCTGTCCACTATCTTCTTTCCAAAAAGAAGTTGGAAGTGGAGGTTAAGTTCAAGTGATAGAGCACCAGACTTCAGAGAAAAAACTCAGGAACTGTGTCCTTTGACTTCAAACTCCAGGACTAACACATACACAACATTTGGTGCTAATCTTTTTACCCCTTTTCTGGTCAGTTGTAGGGTTGAACTTAGGGACTGAGCTTTTCTGCTGAAGAATAGAACTGTACCACTTCAAGATTCATCTCCACTTGTGATTTCCTGGTGGTTATTTGGAAATAACAGTTTCAAGGACTTTCCTGCCCAGGCTGTAAGATCTATCCTCAAGAAAGGCAGAGGGGACAGGCACTGGGTGTCCACAAGGTCACATGGTAGGACACCCTTGAGGCTGGAGAAGGGCTTGGAGAAGCGTCCCTCCTTTTTCTGACAAGGCTGCTATGATGTAAGCACTGGAGTAGCAGCATCCTCCCAACCGTTGCTATGGTGACGATGGTGTCCCGAGCACCCAGCAGACCCAAGGGCCTGGGGCACTGTCACTGCAGTTTTGGGACCTAAATGCTGAGGAGGTGGCACACAATAGCTTCTCCATGTCTCGGAAGGGAACTGGGGGCCATAGTGGGGTAGACCAAAGTTTCAGACTGGGACACCTCAACGCCAGAGGCCTCAAGATGCCGGTATGGGGCCGGCGAGGCTGCACAGAGCCCACAGCCGCCGTTTACCTCCGCGCCCGCGCCGCAGGCTCCGCCGGGCCGCACAGGGAGCACCGGCAATGCAGGCCGTCATCCCGCCATCCCCGCGCGGCTGCCTGGCCTCGGCCGGACGACCTGCTGAGGTGGCGACGGTTGGAGGTCCAGACAAGAGCAGCCCAGGGCGAATGGCGGCAGCGGCGGCGCGGCGGCGCCGGCCACAGCAGCGGCTCGTGTGGAGACACGGCAGTGGCGTCCACAGCAGAGGCTACACGGGCAGCGCTGGCAGCGGTTATGGTGGCAGATGCAGGAGTTTGTCATGAAGATGACTGCAGCCATGGAGACTGCATCGTCCAAAGCAATGGTTTGAGGGCCAAAGCAATGGCAGCACCTGTACTGTCATCCCACAAACCGGCCGGCCGGCCATGGCGGCGGCGGCGGCCATGGCGGGGACCCAGGACCCCATAGGCCCCGTGCAGGGCACCAGGAGTTGAGAAGCTTGCGTGGTATGGCATCCTTGACTGGGGTTGGAGTGACAGAAGCACCCCGACGTTCCTCAAGGTCGTTAGGACGAGGGCACAGGGCAGCAGCGTCCTCACAACCGTTGCTACGGTGACGATGGTGTCACAAGCAGGCACCGACCCAAGGCCCTGGGGAGCTGTCGCTGCTGTGTGGGCGCCCAAAAGCTGAAGAGGCGGCACCCAGTGGCCTCCCCGTGCCTCACAGGGGAGCACAGAACCCCGATCAGAGCTCGCCGTGGGTTTTCCACAGGGCAGCCCCGAGGCTGCACCTTGGCAGCAGTGGCCTAGTGGCGGTTGCTCTACTGGCAATGATGACGGGCCCAACCCCCAGCTTCAAGCAACAGTGCTGGTCACTTCATTGTGACGGAGCAATGACAGCCACAAAACTCAGGAAATTCATCCCTTCCCTTTTGCACACTTTCATCCCTTCCCTCAGTCTCTCCTAGTCAGTGCCATCTCCAACTCCAATTTGTATAGTTCACGTTCAACAGGTGCTGGGGAGCATCCATGCTGCATTTGTTCACCTTTTCCCTTTGAGTTCTGTGCCCCCTCTGACCTCCCAAAGATACGCAGAGGAACAAACAAGACAGAAAACAGAAGTAACAACAAGGAAAGAAAAGAAGGAAAGAAGAAAAAGAAGATAGTCATGGTGACTCCTAATCCTCTTATGCAGAGATCACTGCAATAGAAATTTTGGTTCAACTGGTGCCATAAAAATACACAAATAGGGCTGGGAAGGTGGCTCAGTGGTAGAGCGCTTGCCTTGCATGCCTGAGGCCCTGGGTTCGATTCCTCAGCACCACATAAGCAAAAAGAAAAAAGCCGGAAGTGGCACTGTGGCTCAAGTGGTAGAGCGCTAGCCTTGAGCTGAAGAGCTGAGGGACAGTGCTCACGCCCAGAGTTCAGGCCCCACGACCGGACCCCCCAAAAAAGAAAAAAATACACAAATAGTGGAGATTGTAACACTCAATTTTCCTTTTCCTTCTGGCCCTAGCATTTTAATTTGTTCTCTAGGTTATTAAATGCTCTCATCAAAGAAGAATTTAATTTCCTTGTGGCTTAGTTGAATTTTCAAATCAGTTAGAGCAGGCAGAAAAATTTGTGCCTTGCAAACTTAGTGTCCTTCCTCCCAGCCTAACATTGGGAGAAGGGATTTGCTTTGTGTGGTAGCGTAGGAAGGAGATGGCTGGTTTCTGTAGATTGGAATCTCTGCAAGGGAGCTTGTGTAGGTGGGAATGTGACCTGTCTGGAATCAGTGGCTTTTCCCAGAGGGCAAGCTCATTAGATACTCTTTTAGCCCACTCTGGAGAAAAAAGAAGATACAAGGTTTCACTGTGCTTTCTTTGAGGTCACTCCACCAGTCACCTAACTTCCTCTCACAAGGCTCTATTTTCAAAAGCTTCCAAAACCTTTGGATATTGCTACAGATAGTAGACCAAGTCTTGAATATGCAGATTTAGGAAATATTCAAGATGCAAAGTATAAAATCAAGCAATGTTCACACATGAAGCATCGTCATCAAAACTACCAAAATTTACAAGTATGCGTCCAATTCTAAGTGCTTGGTTTTGCAGATTTTCCTGATCTACAAGTCAAAACATGACAAACATATGTGTGTATGTATGTATATATATACACATGTATATATGTATATATATATATATATGTATATATATATAAGGCTGTTATTCTCGGCAGCCTCTGAAGGGCTCTCTTGATGTCTCTGTTCCTCAAACTGTAGATGAAGGGGTTCGGCATGGGAGTGACCATGGTGTACATCATAGAGACCACCATCACCTTCCTGGGGAAAGCTGCGAAAACAGAACTGCAGTATGCCCCGATGGCTGTCCCATAAAACAAGCACACAATGGACATGTGAGAGCAACAGGTAGAGAAGGCTTTGTATTTTCCACTGGCTGATGGGAATCCCAAGAATAGAAGAAACAATGTGAACATAAGAGTACAGGATCCCCGAGACTGGAAGGCCACCAAAGACTGAAGCAAAGAAAAAGATGAATATGTCAGTATTGCCAGTATTATCACAGGCAAGCTTAAGGAGCTGAGGAGGGTCACAGAAGAAATTTGGAATTTCTATGTCTGTACAGAAGTTAAATTGAGACACTCTCAAGCAATGCATCAGGGAGCCCAAAGGACTGATGGAAAATGACCAACACGCCACAGAGGTGAGGCGTCATAATGATGGGGTAGTGGAGAGGGTGACAGATGGCCACCAAGCAGTAATAGGCCATCACTGTCAAGAGTAGACTGTCCAAGCAACCGAACAAAACAAGACCACTTGAGTTAGGCAGCCAACATAGCTAAGCTAATAGGTTTTCTGTGAGTCTGGAGATTCTGCAGCATCTTGAGGATGGTGCTGCTATTGAATCCAGTGTCAGCTCTGGACAGGTTGGAGAGGAAGAAGTACATGGGGGTGTGGAGATGGGTGTCAGAGGTAACAGCCAGGATGATGAACAGATTCCCAAGCACTCTGATGAGGTACATGGACAGCAACAGGCCAAAGAGGGCAGGCTGCAGGTCTGGATCCTCTGTGAGGTCCAAGAGGTAAAGTTTCAAGAACTTTGTCATGTTCTGTGGCTCCATGTAGCTAGGACACCTTTTGAAAAACAGGATAGATTATTGGAATATAGAGTATACATGCCACTGGCTAATTATCTGTATTTTGCATTCCATGTAACTCAGTGAATGTCTACAG